CACTGACACCCCACTGCCATTGTCACTGACACCCCACTGCCACTGCCGTCAGCCCCCCTGAGCACCCTGGAGTTCCCATCCCTGGGGCTGCACCCTCGAACAGGGCTCATCCCCCTGTGCAATGTCTGTCTCTGATCCCTGTGTCCCCCTGCCACTGTGTCCCCTTGAACCGGTGTCCCCATGTCCCTGAGGCCAAAGTGTCCCTCTGTCCCCATGTGTCCGAGCAAACATGTCCCCGTGCCCCTGTGCTCCCACACCCCTGTGCCCAAGCCCCTGCCCCCATCTCCCACCTTATCCCTGTGTCCCCACGCCCCTGTGGTTCCATGCATCCTGTCCCCAATCCCTTATCCCCCATGTCACTCCTTATTCCCATGTCCCCATGCCCTTGTGCCCCCATGTCCCCCCTTATCCCCATGCCCCCTATCCCAAATCCCCTGTGTCCCCATCTCCCCCCATGTTCCCCTGTCTCCAAGCCCCTGTATCTTCCTATATCCCCTTATCCCCACGCCCCCTGTCCCTGAGCCCCTGTCCCCCCATCTCACACCTTATCCCCATGTCCCCATGCCCTGTGGCCCCATGCCTGTTGTCCCCAAGCCCCTGTGTCCCCATGTGCCCCCTTATCCCCATGTCCCCAGGACACCCCATCCCCACGGGGACGCCCAGGGGTGCCGGAGCCGGCTGAGCACCCATCCCCGGGCGATCCCACAGGTGTTTCGCCGGGATGCCTACCTGGCCGAGGGCCGGCAGGACCTGGTGCGGGCGGTGGAGGAATTCCTGGAGGCCAGCATTGTCCTGCCTCCCACCGAGACCCCCAACGAGCAGCTGCTCCGCGCCCTGGTCCCGCTGCAGCGCGAACTCCTCCGCCGCCGCTACCAACCCCCCGAGAAACCGCCCAGCGAGGCCTTCCTGAAAGACCTGGGTACGGCAGGGACCACCCGGACCCCCCCGAAATCCCTTGTCCCCGCGGCGGGGGGGACAACCCCCTTGCACACGGGGTCCCCCCATGACCCCCTGGTGTGTCCCCAGGGCTGGATGCAGCGCCGGCGGAGGACGACGACCCCCTGCGCAGGACGGGGCGGCCCTTTGGGGGGCTGGTGCGGGACATCTGCCGCCGGTACCCCAAATATCTCAGCGACATCAAGGACGCCCTCAGCCCCCAGTGCCTGGCCGCTGTCATCTTCATCTACTTCGCGGCGCTGTCACCTGCTGTCACCTTCGGAGGCTTGCTGGGTAATGGGGGGACGGGCTGGGGACACGCCGGGGGACGGGGATGTCCCCCCAGCTGGGCGGGGAGCAGGGAGCCTCCGCCTCCTTCATCACCATCCCATGGGGATGCTCCCAGGGGGTTATGCACCCCCTAATCCCGGTGCTGAGGGGTGTGGGATGGGGGGCACAGTGCTGTGTCCCCCACCCTGGCACTCACCGGCTCTGTGGGATCTCCCTTTCAGGTGAGAAGACCAAGGGCATGATGGGGGTGTCGGAGCTGCTCATCTCCACCTGCGTGCAGTGTGTGCTCTTCAGCCTCCTCAGTGCCCAGCCCCTCCTTGTCGTTGGATTCTCAGGACCCCTCCTCGTCTTCGAGGAAGCCTTCTTTGGGGTGGGTACCCCCCGGTGCCTGTGGGTGCCCCCCGCCCACCACTGGCAGTGCCCACAGTGGGCTTGGGGTCTCCCCACCAGCCCTGGGAGAGGCACAGGGGGCTGCTGTGGGGGGGATGGCACAGTGGGGATGGCACAGCAGGGATGGCAGGGGGGGTGTCACAGGGAGGATGTCATGAGGGGACGTCCTGGGGGATGGAACAGGGGGAGTGCTGTATGTGGGATGGCACTGGTGGGATGGCACAGGGGTGATGGCATAGGATGATGGATGTCACATGAGGGATGGCACAAGGAAGGTGCCCCATGCAGGATGGCACTGGTGGGATGGCACTGGTGGGATGACACAAGGCAGGGGGATGGCACATACGGGATGGCACTGTGGGATGGCACATGGGGGATGTAGTGGGGGGGATGGCACATGCAGGATGGCACTGGCGGGGTGGCACATGGATGATGTACAGGGGTGATGTCACCTGTGTGACAGCCCAGGGGTGACACCACGCAGGTAGAGCCATCCAGGTGATGGCCCAGGGGTGCTGCCAGGTGGGTGATCCCACGAGGGTCCTGCCACACTGAGGTACCACCATCCCCATCCTGGAGAAGGATGTGTGGGGCCACTGTGGGATGCCAAGGTCCAGCCCATCTCGATGCCCATGCTGGGGGCTCTGGGGGGCTAACAGGGTGTGCCCTCTGTCTCCCCAGTTCTGCAACAGCAATGGCTTGGAATACATCGTGGGCCGGGTCTGGATTGGCTTCTGGATGATCCTGCTGGTGCTGGTGGTGGTGGCCTTCGAGGGCAGTTTCCTGGTGCACTTCCTGTCCCGGTACACCCAGGAGATCTTCTCCTTCCTCATCTCCCTCATTTTCATCTTCGAGACCTTCTCCAAGCTGGTCACGGTGAGGGGCACGGGGGGCCCACAGTGGGGAAGGCGGGAGGGAGGCTGCAGGTTGTGGTTATCACCTGGGTTTCCATAGAAACAGTGGGATGCAGGTGAGGGACAGAGCCCATCTCCTGGTGTTTTCTCCCCTTTTCCAGGTGTTCCCCAGCTCATGAGGTCCCTTCCAACCCTAACTATTCTGTGGTTCATGCATCTCTCTTGCAGGGGGATTTTGGGGTGGGGAGGTGAACCCCACATAGATGTCCCACCTGGGCTGCACCAAACATGGTCCTTGCCCAGCAACTGCCTGAAGAGCCCAAATTCCCCCCCCATCCCCTGGCTCAGACCCCTCCAGGCTGTTTGGTTGCACTTGGTGTCACCCCATGCACTGGGTGCCCACAGGGACATTGCTGGTGCTGGGGAGGTGACAGGCAGGACACGTGGGTGTGTGTCATACCCAGGTGCCCCCGTGCACCCCACAACGAGCTCAGCACTGCCCTGAACACCCCGGGTCACCCACGGTCTGCAGTGGGGACACACTTGTCTGTCCCCACTGTGCCACTGGCCTTGTTTCTGAAGAACCACAGAGAAAACCAACCCTAAATATCCTCCCTGCTCAGCATGTGCCGGGCTTCAGCCTCGCCCATCCCCCTGGCACACACCCTGCACCCACCAGGATGGTCCTGCAGGGCTCCCAGCGTGGCAGGAGGGGTGCAGGGGGATCCCCCATCCTCATCCTCACTCACTTCCTCCCCTTCCCTCCCCAGATTTTCAAGCAACACCCTCTGAAGCGGGAGTACAGCGTGAAGGCTGACTTTGACCCCTCGGAGCCAGAGCCCAACACGGCCCTGCTGTCCCTCATCCTCATGGCCGGCACCTTCTTCCTGGCCTTCTTCCTCCGCAAGTTCAAGAACAGCGCCTTCCTGCCGGGCAAGGTGAGCACAGGGAGGACACAGTGCTGTCCCCCCCTCCCCACTGCAAAACAGGGGCTCGGTGGCTGAGACTGGGCAAACTCATTGCCTGTTCCTGCAGAGGACATGGCAGGGAAGAACCCCTGGGCCGGGGGGTCACACAGAGGGTTTAATGTGGTCACCGTGTCCCCACAGGTCCGGCGCTTGATCGGGGACTTTGGGGTGCCCATTTCCATCTTCATCATGGCCCTGGCCGACTTCTTCATCAAGGACACGTACACACAGGTCCGTGAGGGCAGGGCTGGGGGGGGACAGGCACCCCCAACATGAGGATATGGATCTGGGTGCTCATCCCCATGTCCCATCCCCTCACTCCCCGCTTTGCTCCCATCCAGAAACTGAGCGTCCCCAAAGGGCTGGAGGTCACCAACTCGTCCGCCCGGGGCTGGTTTATCAACCCCATGGGGCTGCACGAAAAATTCCCCATCTGGATGATGTTCGCCTCCGTGGTGCCCGCCCTCCTGGTCTTCATCCTCATCTTCCTCGAGACCCAGATCACCACGTGAGGATGGGGGATATGGGGAGGGGAGGGCTGCGGGGTGCCCGGTGGGATGGGCACGGAGGGGACCTCCCTGGGGTGCTGTGTCACCAACTCGTCCCCTGTGTCCCCGCAGCCTCATCGTCAGCAAGCCCGAGAGGAAGCTGGTGAAGGGCAGCGGCTTCCACCTGGACCTGCTGCTGATCGTGGCCATGGGGGGGCTGGCGGCCCTTTTCGGGATGCCCTGGCTCAGTGCCACCACCGTGCGAACCATCACCCACGCCAACGCCCTCACCGTCATGAGCAAGGCCTCCTCTCCCGGAGAGAAATCCCAGATCCTGGAGGTCAAGGAGCAGCGCATCAGCAGTTTGTTGGTGGCCGTGCTCATCGGTGAGCTGGGGAGGTGCCCCCCGTGTGAGACGTGAGGGTTGGGGGTCCCCCAGGAGCTCTCCCCAACCTCTCCTTCTCCACCGCAGGCGTCTCCATCCTCATGGAGCCCATCCTGAAGTACATCCCGCTGGCCGTGCTCTTCGGCATCTTCCTCTACATGGGGGTCACCTCCCTCTTTGGCATCCAGCTCTTCGATCGCATCCTGCTCCTGCTGATGCCCCCCAAGTACCACCCTGATGAGCCCTATGTCACCAGGGTGAGTGAGCCTTGTGTCACCCCCATGGGTGGCCATGGGTTTGGGGGTGTCCTGGGCTGCAGCACCCCTGAAATTGCTCCTCCTTCAGTGTTGGCCTTCACTGAGCTCTTCAGGCCACTGGTCCTGCCCCCACCCCAGCACCCACCACCCCGGGAAGGGTGTGGGATGCTGTCCCTGAACTCAGTCCTGGGCTTCTCGTCCCACAGGTGAAGACTTGGCGGATGCACCTCTTCACCTTCACCCAGATCATCGTCCTTGTGCTGCTGTGGGTGGTGAAGTCCACCCCGGCCTCACTGGCACTGCCCTTCGTCCTCATCCTCACCGTGCCCCTGCGGCGCTTCCTGCTCCCCAAGATCTTCCGGGACATCGAGCTCAAATGTGTACGTAGCCCCAGCATGTGCTGGGAACCACCACTGTCCCTGTCCCTGTGCTGGTTCTGGTGTCCATCCCCATCTCTTTCCCCATCCCCTTCCTCATTCTCATTCCTGTCTCCATCCTCATCTCCATCTGTGTTCCCATCTCCATCTCTGTCCCCAGTCTCATCTCTGTCCCTGCCCTTGTCCCCTCATCCCCATAATCCTCATCCTTGTCTCACTCCTGTCCCCATCCCCATCTGTGCACCCACTCTCATTCCTGTCTCCATCCCTGTCCTCATCTGCATCCCTCATTCCCACCCCGTCCCCATCCTCACCCTGTCCTTGTCCCATTCCTGTCCCCATCCCCATCCCTGTCCCCAGACTCATCCCTGCCCCTATTCCCATACCCATCCCAGCCCCTACCTTGTTCCATCCCTGACACTGTCCCTGTCCTCAATCCTGCCCCCAATCCTGACCCCTCCCCATCCCCATCCTTTTCTCCAACCCTGACCCCATTCCCTCTCTGTCCCCATCCCCATCCTTCTCTCCACCCATGTCCCCATCCCTACCCCTGTCCCCTTCCTTATCTTCATCCCTATCCCCATTCCCAGTCCCTATTCCCCTCCCCTGTCCCTATCCCACTCCCCATCTCCATCCCTGTTCCCATTCCGTGGCCCTATCCCCGTCTCCCTCCTGATCTCCATCCCTATCCCCTGTCCCTATTCCCATCCCCTGTCCATATCCCACTCCTGATCTCCATCCCTGTCCCCATCCCTGTCCCCCTCACTCCCTCTCCTCTCTCCAGCTGGATGCAGATGACGCCGTGGTGACCTTCGAGGAGGAGGAGGGGACAGACGTGTACAACGAGGTGCAGATGCCCAGTTAAGGGCCGGCCCCCCCGGCCCCCCAACACCCCCCCAGCCCCCCAACACGCTTATATCACCACTGCTGCCACCCCAGGGGCACTGGGCGACGGAGGAGGATTTGGGGACACTGTCCCCACCTGCACGCCCCGGGAATGGAATTATTTTTTTAGTTGTTTTTCCCTTTTTTTTTTGTCTATTTAAAAAAATATTTTGGATGGTGTGATCTCACCCACACTCTGGGGAAAGGGCTGCCCAGGCTCAGGGGGTTCCACGAGCCACCCCCACCCCATGGCAAGGTGGGATGTGTCACCATCCCATCCCCGAGGCTGCCAGCGGGCACTGGGCATGGGAAGGAGCTGGAGGAAGCTCCCAGCCCCCGGGGACACCCCAGGTCTGGCCCCTCTTCCCCATATGAACATTCCAGCGAGCTGGGAAAGACCCTTCACCCCACGGAGCCCCTTCTCCCATTTTCTCCATCGTTTGCTCCAGTGGGATCATCCCAGCTGCTCCGCTGCGCTTCCAGCACCTCCCAGAGTTGGGATGTAAATAGTCCAGTGAGGGAGTTTACATATTTAGAATACAATAATCATGCTAAAAACAGCCAAAAAAATTACTTATATTATGCCGATGCTTCTGCAGGTAGGATTCACTCATAGCCAAGCAAAAATTCAAAAAAAAAAAAAAGGATGAAAAAGCACCCTAAAAATGAAAAAAATGAGGAAAAATAGAAAAAAAAAAAGCAGCTGCAAGGAGTGATCTGTATATTTGATGCTACTGGGGGGGTTGTAATTTATTTTTAGGGCTGGTTGTGCCCCTGCTGCAGCGGGGCCGTGTGTGTGTGTGTATATACTAGAGAATTATATCAAAATTCAGAATTTTCTATAAAAGATGATTTTTAAGGATCCTGGTCAGGGCCTAAACTCTAAGGACCAGTCTGTCAGTCTCACTCCATTCATGAATTAGTGTTAGTTAGTTAATTAGTCCTCTTTATTTTTATAGCGTTCCGGGTAAATCTGTGTAGCTTTTCCTTGATTTTTCCCTTGCTTGCTGACCATGTCTTGCCCTGTTTCCGCTGGGATTGCTCCCAGTCCAGCTGAGCATCCCCCTGATCCTGTCAAGGCTCATTCTGCCCTGATCACCCTCAAGGACTGGATCCAGCCAGGGCACAGAACACCAGATCAGGCTCCAAATTTGCTCATTTTTGCTCATTTTTGACCCCAAAATCAGCGAGGGGTGGGTGGGAGAGTAGGGGGGTGAGGGTGGGTGGCCACACCCGGGGCCTTGTGTTTGGGGTTGGTTTAGTTTTATTAATTATGTGTCTGAAATTAAAAAAAGTTTCGATCTTTGGGGTTTCCTCCTTCCCTTCCCCCCACCTCTGTATCAGGCTTTAATAAAGAAATTAATAAAATCAGAAAGGAAATGGGAGTTTTCTTTCCAGCTGGCAATTTTCTGGTGTGTTGCCCTGTTTAATTCTCCCCCAAAAAGGAGCAGCAGCAGCCTTTGGAGGTGTCCATCCCCCTGGAATGGGCAGTGCAGTTGTACCAAGATGCTTGCCATGGCATCCCAGGATGCTCACTGTATCCTAGGATGCTCCATATGGTCATCCCAGGATGCTCCCTACATCCCAACATCCTGGAGTGCTCCCTGCAGTCATTCTGGGATGCTCCCAATGGTCATCCCAGGATGCTCCTCACAGCTATCCTGGAATGCTGCATCCCGGCATCCTGGAGTGCTCATTACAGCCATTCTGGGATTCTCCCCATAGTCATTCCAGGATACTCACTGCATCCCAGCATTCCAAGATGCATCCCCAAGTCACCCCATGAAGCTCCCTGCAGCCATTCTGGGATGCTCCCCATGGTCATCCTAGGATCCTTCCCACAGACATCCCTGGACGTTCTCTGCAGCCATCCAGGATGCTCCCCATAGTCACCCTGGGTTGCTCACTGCAGCCATCCCAGGATGTCAGGGAATCTAAGGGATTCCCGTGGCCATCCCGGGATGCTCAGCCCCCCTCATCCCCCCGCACCCCAGGGTGCTGCCCGACTGCCACATGGCCTTGGCTGTCCCCGCTCCAGGGGGATTGGGAACATCCTGATCCAGGGCTGCTGGCACAGGGAGCAGAGCAGCCCCTGCCCCTCCCCCAGCCCCTGGCACTGGATTGACCCCGATTATCCATAATCCCATTAACAAACGGGAGACACCGGCTCTGTGAGCGGGGCCGTGGGAAGGGCTGTGCCTGTTCGCCCCCAGCCTTCCCATGGGGCAGGAATTGGGATCAGCATCCACGACTGCTCCCAGCCAGGACCCCAAACTCTTTCCATGAGGCTGGGATAAACCCCAGCATGGCCACCAGCTTTTCCCAAGCCTGGCATAGCTGCTACCCCGTTTTCCAGAGATGGAGGCGCGTGGCTGGTGTTTTCCAGCCCAAGGCCTGCAGATCCAGCAGCTTTTCTTCCTTGTGCCGGCCTCACGTGGACAAGACATGCCAGGTGCCATCCAGAGGTCATCCCTGCCTCCAAATCCCAGTGAAGGAGGATAGCATCTGCCTGTACCCATCCCTCTTGTTTTCCACCCTGGGAAGAGTTTGTTATTCCCTGGGAGATGGCAGCGAGGTCACTGCCGCGGGATCCAGCCCGGTTTGGGGTTGGGAATTTAGGTCAAGCTCTTCTTTGAACTTGCCTCAGCCTAGGAAAATGGAGGGAGGGGGAATTAGGGATGGGAGTAGAGCAATGAGGGGGAAATAAATGCTAATTAATTGGTTGCTAATGAGGAGGGGGAAGCATGGAGCTCCAGAGGGGGATCATGTTGGAGCATCACCCCTGGAAGGGGAGAGCCACAGTGCCAGCAGCAGAGTGCTCCATGCCATCCATGGACAGGGGACATGGGACACCCCGGGATCTCCTGGAGGCATCCAGTGGGACATTGTCACTGTTTTGCACAGAAAAAGTGGAAAACCAAACAAAACCCCCCAAAACCTGCAGCTGCGCCCAAAAAACACTCACTGACACAAATAACAGTGAATAGAAAATTCCCATGTTGGAAGTGAGGCTTAGGAAGGGCATGGAGTGAGGGGAGGGGTTGGGATGAAGATTTGGGGGGGTCCCCACTCCCAGCCCACCTGCTGCAGGGTCTGTGGTTGATCCCCAGGGTTCTGGTGTCCCTTCCCAGTGACAAAAGCCACAAAACCACGTTGGGGGGATCGGGGCCTGGAGCACACTGACACTCCAAAATGGCTTTTTGCTTAAAAAAAAAAAAAAGTTAAAAAATATAAAATGTCAACTTTCATGTATTTGACCCGATTGTCCCTAAATATTTTGTTTGCATTGTTTTTTTCCTTTTGTAATTTTTCCCTCCTGCAAAGCAGTGACAATTCCCACAATTCGGGGATCCAGCCCAGCCCAGGCCCTTTTCCCCGCTGAATAAATACATATATTCTTATTTTTAAGCTCTCACAGGAGGGATTAACCGCCCGGCGCCGGAGCTGCCCGGCCTGGCTTGGCACAGCCCGGAGCAGGACGTGGCAGAGGATCCGGCTGTCCCTCCGTCTGGCTGATCCTTCCCTTCGGGATAAAGCCCAAATAAGCCACATGCACAGCCAGGCACCACCCCCGCACCCCCAAATCAGCTGGGGGAGGGGGGGCCAACTGCACGCAGATTTAGGGATTATTTATTTTTTTTTCCTTATAAACAAGGGTGAAAATCCCCCAGATATTGGCAATTCCCGTGCCAGGGAGATGCCCGTAGCCCACAAAGCCGTGCGGCCCCGCATTCCCAGATCATCCTGCATCCCTTAAGGGGGGTCCCCGCCAGCTCCCGCTGCCTCGTGGCAGGTGCCGGCCGGAGCTGCCTGTGGCCAGCCTGGCTTGGGAAGCAGGCAAATGGCCGGAGCTCTTGGAGCACGCCGGCGACCCGGCGGCCTCGGAGCAGCGGGCAGATGGCCGGAGCTCTCCGGAGGGAGCGCGCGGGCGGCCGGGAATGCGCTGGCGGCCTGGATGGAGCAGCCGTGGCGTGCAGGCGGCCGGCAGCGGGCAGATGGCCGGAGCTCGCCGGCAGCCGGGAACGTGTCGCCAGCCGGGAACAGCCGCGGCGGGCGGGCGGGCGGCCTGTGGCCGCAGCACGGTCAGCCCTGGCCGGCCGGTGCCGTGGGGGCAGGCAGGGTGATCGCTACCGCGGCTGCAGCCCGGTACCGTGGTGGCCGGGGCGGCCGGTACTGTACAGGCAGCCGGGGTGGCTGATACTGTGGAGGCAGCCGGTGCCGTGGAAGCAGCCGGTGCCGTGGAAGCAGCCGGTGCCG